CTTTCCCTAAAATCACTCTGAACAGGCTGTGTTCTGATCTTCCTCTTGAGAGCAGTGGCCGTAATCCTTGTTTGGAATTAAACACTGCTGTCAAAAGAAGGACACGCATATTATTAGAAGAGTGCTCTGCTAGCTATGTTGTCAGTAAACATTTAATAGAAGGATAGAGACTCTTTGTATTAATCAACTAACACCAAAACTTCCCACTGTGTTTGAGGCTCATTAATTTAAAAGGTGTCAAGTTTTTAACAAGATACACTTACTTGGCCTTCATCTGCAAAGAACACAAGATGTCAAGGATTGCTTTGTAAAATATAGCTCCATGTAGGAGCACCATATTATAGTCCTTAAGAGACTTGATCTGTAATACAGTAGAACAACTTTGAAGCTCTTCGTTTGCACTGATGGAAGCTGGGAACTTTCAGAGCATTGCAGGATTGAGTCATTTGTGGCATTTGTTTTAATAATACACTTAGCTTGACTTTTTCAACATTGCAAAAATCAGTCCAAACAATAAGCTCTTGAAGTAGCCGAATAGTTTTATTCATGTTTACAAACTGGAAACCTACAGCAGCGAAGTTGCGATATGTCCACGTCTAGAGAGTACGTCAGTGACTTTAAGTGATATCACCAAGTGAGCTTGCCCTGACTTTGCATCTCCTCTCCTCCCACTTTTCCCCGTGCCCTCCCTGGCTGTACCCACCATGCACTCTGAGTTAGGCAGTGACGCAGAGGTGGTACAGGGGAAATGTGTTCCCTTCACTAGGGAAAGCTGACTGCTTCTTGCGTTCTTTTCTGGTATTGCAGAAGCAGCAGAATTGGTCCTTTGGATTTGGTGGATTTCTTTAGGAAGGTTGTTTTTCTTCTTAGTAATGGAGAGGGGAGGTGAGTCTATAAGTATATGTATTTATCCTATCTAGGAAACATTTTCTTCTATAAAAAGGTTGGCTAATGTTCCCTGACCTTCTTTTATACTTAGTGACAGGGACATTTCCATTGGTTCCTCTTTCATGTGATGTTTTCAGACATCTATTTCTGTTTTTATCAATCAGGGAGTAGCTTCTAGGCTTATGACTTTGAGCTGAGAACAACCCATGCCACCTCGCCTGTGTTTGCTTTGATACAAGAGGCTGTTTGCTTTATCGCTCTCTTGTATCAAGGTTTGTTGTTGTGATGAACAGATGAGCCAACTATGCAGTAGATTAGTTAATTTATGTTTAATGGTTGTATTCTGTCTTCAGACTTTCAGATTTTCTTATGCCATTGTTTCCCCCCTCAATTTAACCAGGAAAAGAATACTTGTCTCCAAGTGTTCTGATTTCAAATGTAGTAATTTATGTGGAAAATGACATGATAACAGGCATATCTAGCAATAGAAGCTGTCTAATGAAATTTCACTTGCTTTTTCGAAATTAACATCTCCTATTTTAATAAGAGTACCATGAAATTAATTGTTGAAAATAGACCCTCTTTGCACAATTTGACAGGCTTTTGTGTCTCACTTGTTACTGTCTATTATTTCTGCTGCTTCTAGAGATTGTGCAGTTGTGCTGATTGATGAGTACCAATGAATTCCCAGTCCGAAGAGCTGATAATATTACATAGATGAGGCAGACAAAAGATGCGAGGAAGGCAAAGACCCAAAACCAAGGCAGTGGTCTTCTATTGCCCTAACACATGCATCTAAAAGTTGTGTATTTAAGTTTGTGTTGATCACAATAAGGTCCCATTATCTTCAGTGGAATCACATAGTTAGGTGTCTAAAAGACTGTTAGTCACCCAGTCCTGCAGTGTGAACTAGGGTACGCTGACTGAAGCTAGCAGGTCAGTTCTATAAAGATTTAAATAATAATAATATTAGTAATGATAAAAGTACCTTTTACAACCATGGAGGCAGATAGGATGAAGAAGTTCAGAAAGACGTTAGAAAAATTTGTGGGTGAACAGACATTAAAGCAAATAGAGATCTACCCTCCAATGTCCTTGAAGATCTGATTGTGGGTGCTGGGAGAGTATGAGGGGAACAGACTACTGGTAGCGGCTAGGCTTACGTATGTGCTTTCCCCAGGGAGCACCTCCAGCTGTCGTAGTCGGAGAGAGAACATATAGGGTAGTTTGAAGGACCCAGTAGGGCATTTCTTAAATTCTTTTAAGTCTTAATCTGCTATTGGAGGGACTTGTCTCCCCATGCTGACTCTAAAATGAACCAAGAGTGAGGTGACTGGTTTGGTCTTTGAAGTATAACTTTCAGGGGTATTATGATGTTAGGGATGATATGACGTTAGGTGTATTAATCCCACCCTAAGAGTCTAGGTGATTTTCCAAGGGCCACAAAGAGCAGCAGTAAGGGGACTGACTGTTCCTAAACTGTTACTGAATTGGCTCTTCATGGTATCTAGGCCAGTCTCTACAGTGTCATTCTTTTTGTCAGTTTAAATGAGTTGAAAGAAGTTACTCATTACTGCAGCTCTGGTAGATCTTGTTCTCTCCCTGGTTTGCCTGTGAGACATCCTGCTTTAGGTAAAGCACTTGTAAAATCTGTCAGATGAGTGGGATGTGCCCATTTCAGACATACAGAGCAGTAGACAGCAGCTTAGTTGCTGGTATTTGTTCATCTTGAGGCATGCAGGTCCTGTTGCAGATGAGGAGACTTGGGTATCCCTTTGAGCCTAAAAAATTTGTAAATTTGTAAAACTGCAAGTCACATTATGCAGTCCTTGTCTTTTTTAAAAAAATAAAGCTGCATTGCAAATTATCTGAATAGACTGTGACATGATTCAGTACAATAATTTTATTTTTTTTTCACCTATTGTAAAAATTAGATTTGCTATTCGCTGCTTAAACCTGGTAATGCATTTTTTAAACTCTTTTTTTGCAGGTCTATCTTTCCTATCCACCCCTCTTTCAGAATAGTGGTCCTAGCAGAACCTCCTGTCATTGGAAGTAGTACCCAACAGTGGCTGGGTCCAGAGTTTCTGACGCTGTTTCTTTTTCATAGTGTTCGATCTTTAAGCAAGAGTGAAGAAATTCAAGTTATTAAAGAAATGGTAAGTACATTCAATATTTTAGGCACTTAGTGGCTGTTGCTTACTATTCGTGATTATTTACTACATAAAAAATATTTTGCTATTCCACTCCCTACTTCAGTGTGGCATAAATGAGTCTTCATTTTCAAAGTGTATCAAAGCAGCATATCTACTTATCTTTTAATGGTATTGATATAAATTAGTATTCTTATTGTGATATTAAATGATGCTGTAATAAAAAATACTCTTTATCAGAACTGTATTCCTTTTTGGTTGACATTAAGCAACTGCAGCAACTGTATGCTCATTGCATCTGAGTGTAGCTGTATATGGAACTTGCATATCTTGCAGTAAGATTAATACTGGTTTTGTTTCAAACAGATTCCAAATGTACCCAGTGTTGCTGTGGAGCAGTTGTTGTCATTAACGCACAAGCTTCGGGAGACAAATGATGCCACAGTGAGCCCTTTTTCTTTTCTTTTTTTTTTTTTCAAATTTACTTTCCCTTAACTGTGACTGTTTTAACAAAGGCTGGGTGAAGCCCGCTAAGCTATACTGTTACTTCAAAGGCTGACTGATTGAAAAACCAGCCCCAGAAAATTATTGCTGGCAATTACTGCACTGCATACTGTAAACCTTTTAGATTCATGGTGTACATTTTTTAAATCTACGTAAGTAAAGCTTTTAGGAAATTGCCCAAATCCCAGAGAAGTCAGGCAGAACAGTACATGTTGTCAGTGGGTTTAGATACATGACACAGTGAAACATGCTTGAGGTGCCTTTGAATAGGTACAGTTATCATGTGTGTCCAAATACTTTTTGATCATTTCACTTTAGTCATTGGAAATTTCACATCTGAAATTATTGAGGCTTTTTGGGCAATGGGAACTACCTAGCCATTATGAAATGCCAACAGGCAACAGCAAAGACTAAGAAAAGGGAAAGCTCCAGAACTCCTGGCGGTGTAACTGCTACAGGCAATTCTATTAAAGCAGTCTTGTCAAGAAAAATAAGTTCTGCTGACATAGTAACCACAAAATTCTTTAAAAAAAATACAGTCAAATCATCATGAAAAGAAAAAGAAATTATTGCTATGGCAACTAAAGCACTGGATGTTTTTAATGTAACTAAAACGTAAAACATTTTTAGTGGAATCCAGCAGTTTAACTGGCATGCAAATGTATTCAGTTCTCCTTAGTTTTCATGATTTTAACATGGGTAATAGTTTTTTACGGTATTACTATTTAAGAAGCTCAGAGAGGCTGTTATGCTCTTCTGAGCTTAAAAAAAGTAAGTAAAAAGGTTGACTTTTAGGTACACCTTAGGGTCAGTTTTATTATCTATGTAGCTTCTTACACCTAATGTATAGATTTATTGGTTTTGACATACTTGGAGACATACCATGCCTGAACAGAGCATTGTAAAAATCCTTTCCAAATGTGGATGTCTATAGCATTGTGAAATATCTAAATGAAGTCAATGATGTTGGATGAGAAGTGAGTCACAGTACGGATCGAGGGAGGATTCTTGTAGATCAGCAGTGACATGAGGCATGTTGGGAATAGCACGCCTGTGCAGAGAGCTGAAATGTGTGCCTTAGGTATGCCAGGCTATTTGTAGAGTTGCCTAAGTAAGCAAGCTTCTGCCAGAGATTATCCTGAAAATATTAACCATTGTTTGAAGGCTTTTGTTAACAATAGAAGAATACCTGTAGAATATTCAGCTCGTGGGCGTTGTCTGCGTCATTGTAGTTGTTTGCTTGATTTACGATAGAATCTAGAGACTACAATCAAGATCCTGTTGAATTAGATGCCTCATGTATCTTACAAATGCTGTCACTAACCCAGTTTTGAGTTTACAGTTGTTAAATGTAAAATGTATTAAAAAAACCAGGTAGGACAAAAGAGGAAATTTTGTTTCCAAGACTTTAACTGCCGGTTGCAAATATTCAGAAGATGTGATACAGCTTTTCCTCTGTGGTTCTGTCCTCTATGCTTATTTATTTCAGTGCAGGATCTGATGCTGTATATAATTTAGACTTTAAAATGTCCATGTCCTGAGAGATTTGACTTGTTGAGGTGGTACAATGTATGAAATACAGTACCTCCATTACTGTGCCCAGCTGCCATTTTCCATCAGTGCTGTTCCATAGGTTGTGACTTAGGGAGGATTGTTTACCTGCCAAAACTTACTCTGCTTGGGAACCTTTCAGCTGTTTTAAGATATTTTTGGAAAGAGAATGTGATCTCAGAAGACAATGAGGGTTCTGGCTAGTGAGCAGGGATAAAAAGGATACAGCGCTCACCCCTCTGCCTTGCCTGTGCTTCACGTGTGGCTGAGTAGGTCTTGAAATAACACTTGAAATGCCATCATTTACATCACCAAGTCCATAATGCTGGGTGGTAAACTACGATGGTTCGGAAGATGCTTCACAATCTTCTGTCAATGAAAGCAGGAGGAGCAGGAGTAGTAATCTTCACAGTTATCCCCATCTAAATCATTCTTACTCATTGCTCAGAGCTGTGCTAAAAAGTATTATCCTTTGCATTCTGAGCATTCAAGAAAAGTTGTGTATAGTTTCATAGAACTGATTTTGTTTGGGTTTTTTTATTATTATTATCATCTATGTGACAAATCTGTCCCCGGTTTTCCAGGGGAAAGAATTAGTGTCAAGACATTTCTCATGCTTAAAAACTGTTAAGGGGGAAAACAAAGGATCTGAAATTCATGAAGTGCTGCTTTTCTCTCTTTTGCAAATTTCAGGGTTTTTTCCCCAGTTGAAAGAGCATGACATATTAAGATAATTGTAATGCAGTTAGGAATCACTTACATGAACCAAACGAAAATGTTTTGAAATTACCTAATTAAAATATTTCACTTGACCCAGGCAAAGCATGGCGTGACTTATCAGATCACACTCATTGTTGAGTGCTTCCTGCTAAAATAAGAAACCTATTTGTATTAGATACCTTCATCCGGTAGATATAATTATAGAACGATTTCTTTCTCGGTCTTTGTATCTCTCTTTAAATAAATGGTCACTTGTTTTGGGTTCTTGTTTGCTTGTTTTTTAAATGTTACTGTATTTGTTTGAGGTCTGCCTTCCCAGGCATTGAATCATTTTTGTAACTCTTTGCTGAATCATGTCCAGTTTTTAGCATTTATTATAACATGTGGACAACAGAAAAGGACACAGTGTTCCAGTAACGGCCCGCCCAGAAGGCGTGTGCAGAGGTGATACAATCTTCTTACTGCTGCCCAGTGTTGTCTTGTTTATGCATCCAAGAATCCTGCCAGACCCTTTTGCCAGAGCATTTACATGTGGAGCTTGTATTAAGCTTGTGAAGAGCAGATGAGTTTTCAGGACGTTGATCCTTTTACACTGGCTAACCTCCTTGGTATTGTGAATATTGTTTAGTGTTAGGTTTTAAAAGGTGAATAAAATTCAGTTATCAGCACTTTTTTTTTTTCCTGTTGCTTACCAAGTGGAACAGTATGGCTAATCTTTTGATGACATCATGATTTCCATGGCAGTGAATTACTGCAGCAAGTACAGAATTACAAGCTTGCAGATTAAAAAGCACAAGCTGCTGTAGGAGGCAGAAAGCATCTATGAATTAGGAGAAAAGTTGAAATAATTGCTTTTGAATTACTTTTTTCTCATGACTTGTTCAGTTTAAATCCTAAGATCCAGCACCAGAGATCAAATAATTACACTACTTTATTTTTTGACAGGCACAGTCACTGGCTTCGTCTTTATCTACCCGACAACTATTGCGAATTTGTCGTCGACTGTCACAACATCCAGATGAAAGCCTTTACTACGCTGTTAATAAAGCCTGCCTTTCCAGGTAGAAGTCCTAGTTTTGGTGGAAGTTCAAGAGCTGCTTGGTCAGTTGCTAACATGCAAGATAACTTTTAATGCAATTTAGTAGATAATACAATTGCTGTCTTGCTCCTTAAAGTCTGCCATTTCTTTAGAAGTATTTCTGTGATATTCTCAAACCTAGGAGGTTTTGTACTCTTTTCTCATCTTCATAAAGATGTTTAATGGCATACAAATTAGGTCACCTTTATTGACATTATTTCACTGTCTCAGAACACTCAAACCAGGATTATATTACTGTCTAGCATAACTAGATATTTGGTGGAGGCTTGGTTTCAGTTCTAAAAAGTTGTATCTAGAAAAGTTGTGAACATCCTGGGGTTTGTTTGTTTTGGTTTTGTTGGTTGGGTTTTTTTGTTTGTTTTGTTTTGGGTTTGTGGTTTGGTTTTGGGGTTTTTTTTCCCCAAAAGAAAGCAAATTCTAAAGAAAAGATTTGGAAAACTGAATGGGCCTAGTTCTGGACACCCCAGAGCTCGCTCTTTCTCTTTGGAACCTGGGGTCCGAGTGAACTGAGTCAAGAGAAGAGGTATTTCCGAAAAAACATTGTTTCTATTGTAGCTCTTATTGGCAGTGGCACAAGGAGATTACACGCTTCCAGTCCTAATCCATCCTACATTACAACCCTGTTGCAATATTTGATAACAGTGAAGCCTTTTAAAATGAGCACACAGCCACTGATGTAATTAGTTACCTATGCAAGAAATTTGGTTTTTCTCCTTAGGGATGGGTGAAATGTTGAAGGCTACTTGAGTGCGAAAGCAATAGACGTTCAGGGTTTGGAGGTCAAAGTAAAGCTTCATACTGATTTTAGATTACAGAAAATACTGAAAACTTTTAAGAAAATTACGTTAAAATACAACCTCCCTATTATTTTTCTTCATTTAGGTTTTTACCAAACCTTGCCAGATCAGCTTTACATAAAAATCTACAGGATTCTGGTATTGAGACAAGTCAAGATGACACGAACGAACTAGAGGAAAAGGATTACACATGTAAGCTTCTGTCATCTTTTCTTCAACTCTTCGTGAATGTTACTCAGACAGTTGAGCATATAAAGGTGTATTAATTATCCTAAAATGTAGTTTGCCTAAGTTATGTCTTTGCTTTGCTCTATCCCAATGCAATGCTGCTCTCAGTATGTTGATACTTTTGTATTGTCTGCTGCATTCCCAGCTCTTGGAATTTTGTTCTCCATCATGTTTAAGGGTTTCCCAGTCTATAAGATCCATGGCCTCAGGCTTTCCTGGACTGCTTTTTTTTTCTTTTTTCTCTTTTTCTTGTTCTCTCTTGTTCTTTTTCATTCTGGTGCACACTTTGTTAGTTTCCCTTCTTTTTATTTTCTTTAAATTGCTATGATCATTACATGTCACCTTTATCAAGCAGGTCTTTGTTTCTTTACCTCATCCAACTTGTACTCGTTTGCAGTAACCTTCGGTGCTATGCATATAATTCTGATTCTACCATTTTTCTCACTTCTGCTTTCTCATTCCTGCATGACCCCTGGTCTTCATGCTAGCCGTGTATCTTCTCATATCTTCTGTCAGGCAGCACACTTTAAGCCATTTGCCATTTTCCGTTCACTAAACTTTTCCTTTACTTCACCAGTGTTCTCTCTGTTGTCATTCTTCTGTATGTTTATTATCAGTTTTGTGATGTATTTGACTTCTGTGTTTTTACTGTTAGATCTTTGCAGCAGTAAACACATCTTTGTTTTTAATTAATACGGATTGTGGTTTTATAGATTTTATTTATGTGTGTGTGTGTATAAAAATATATATGTAAATACAGATATAGTAAAGTATTTCTTACATACAGTATAATAGACATATGCAGCCATATCTGTGTCTATATACATATATACACACATGTACATACGCAGCCATCCATGTATTATTCTGTCTGTATTTGTATTTTTTATGCATATAAAAACTATATATAAAAAATAATTTGAACTCTTGCCAGTTTGTGATGCTGCCTGCTTACCATTCTTTTTTTATCTGGACACATCCCTTGAATTTTCTTTATGTTTCTCTGTTTCATGCCATAAAGATAGGACCATACAGAAGAACAGGTGAACTAAAAACGTCTCTCTAGAAATCAAGCTATTTTCAGTTTTACACCATACCAGATTGAGAAATTAGTGGGAAAAAATTATTACTGTTTTTATTGCATAATATTATTGTTTACACTTAGTTGTCATTTTCCTAAGGACAGAATTTATGGTTCTTCTTATCTAAGAAATTTTTCTAATCTACTTTTCCTCTCAGAGCTGCAGCTGAAGGTTATTTCAACGAGTGCAAATTTAACTAGTTTTCACTAGTTTTAGTGTCCATGTTCTGGTATTAACCCATTTGAGCCAAAACACAATGCTGAAAGGGAGAATCGACAGTGACTATACTGTTGTGGTGGGTTGGCTCCAGCTCTCTGCTGAGCACGCACACAGCCGCTCACTCCCCTATGCACCCCACTCCTCAGTGGGGCAGGGTGAGAGAAGGGAGAGAATGAGAGTGAGAAAACTTGCGGGTTGAGGAAATGTAGCCTAACAAGATTAGTGATATTCCAATAATAAAATGAGAGTATGAAATTAAACCAAGGCAGCGGTCACAACTTCTAGTGTTTCTTATGGTGCTTTTCCCATAAGATCATCTATTCATCATATATTGCAAATGAGTTCTTTGCAATTTTGAAGAGAAATCAAATTCATGCTAATGCACCCTCTTGTTAATGGATACTCTTTTAAGCATTCACTTACTTTAGATAGAAACCATTTGCTGCAACCCACAGCCTTGTTAGAATTTGTAAATCGTCACTTGCAGGTGGTGGGGATTGATTGCATGTCTGCTCAGACGATGCTGTAAGTAATGCATTTGCTTGTTTCCTGAAAAATGTCTAGGTGAAATAAATGATGGGATTCTGAAGATAGGGTCTGTGACGGTGCCAATTTATAACTCGACTGAGAAAATGAAAGTGCCTGACGTTTTGTTTTATGAAAATGCACAAGTAAGTACAAATCTTTGGCTTCTGAGGTACAACAAGTTTGTTAAGTGTGTATTAATGTGCATGCTCATATATATCAATTAAAGTACTAACTACATTTTAAGGGTATATTTCTGCAGTAGTTTCTTTTGGCTAAAAATTTTTCTCACAGGATTTGATGCTCATTTCAGGGGTCTTCACCATCCCTTTGAAGATTGAAACAATCCTGTTGAACATTCATAAAATATGAAGGAACAGCAACTGAAACTGTATTTTATTTAGAATGATTTGATCAGATGTTGCACTGAGTGATTTTTTTTTAATTTTATTATTATTATTTTTTTTTTCTGCTGCTGGACTGATCCACTCATAGGACTGGATTATCGATTCCATCCTGAAACTTTGTTTTACAGGCTTGGTGCATGAAGTTGTACCTGCCTTTTATTAGAATTAATGTGGCATGTTTGAAAAGCAAGATGAAGACCAATTACTTAATTAGTTGTTAGTTAATTGGTTACTAATTATTTCAATTATTTTAGCTTATTAGTCATTAGTGTTAATTAGTTTGTAGTAGCGAAGAGTAAGAGTAATTAGTGAACATGATCAAAGGGAAGGACTTGGTGACTGTGGTTATTTTTTGTTTTTTGTTTCCCCCCCTACCCCTATTGTAGAGTTAGGTGTACTGCCGCTTGCTTTTCCATCTAGCCTGCAGGCCTCCAAACTGTCAGACTAGGGTACTACCCTCAGTTACCTTCGGAATATTTTGCCTCTGAAAGGCAACACTGATAGTGTGATCCTGTGAAATATTTTTCTTTTAGGGACCTGGTCTGGGTTTGCTTGCTTTTCCTTTCCTATTCTTTTTACCTCCCTCGCTTGCAATTTCTGCGCAGAAAGACTGTGCCACATGGGTATCACCTACTGAAGGTGATGACAGGCTGTGCAAGGGGAACAGATGACAGTCTTTTTCATCTTCCCCACTAACATTTCATGTGAGATTTTGTTCTGTGTTGCCATTTCAGTAAAGTACTTAATTTGGATCTGTTGGAAGTGAAATCCTGAGTCTTGTTAGGACTTTCCTGCATTGCTTTTTCTACCTTCTTGCTTATAGCTTCAGAAAAGTGCATAATATCTGAACACGGGTTGCATACATCTGTTGTATTTAGGTAATGTCTGTTAAAAACACGGCAGAGAATGAACTGCTCTGTATCTGTCCCTGGTAGCTATGCACTCTGAAAGAAACAACAACCAAATACCAGTCAGGATAGCTGTTCCCATTTCTAAATGATTTCTACTCTTATTTTCTGTATTGATAGTTTGTAAGTCTGTCATTCAAGTGCTGTAATGATTGTTTAGCAAAACCTGCTGGAGAACAAATTTGATTTATGAGTCTAGTGCAATACTTCCTCTCTGGTACTACAGAAATAAACTGAAACAGAGAAAAAAAATGTATCCTCAGCGCTTTGCACTGCTGCACAGTGTAATGAACTACATAAGTTTTGCCTCTGTGTGTTTGGTCTTGAAGTGTTCCATGTTCCAGTGGAATTTGGCATTACTGTGGAACATTGCTGTTGCTCTGCAACAAGTGGCACAGGGATGGAAAAAATTTATAGATTATATGCCAAATTGCCAAATGCCACTTTCAGGCCAGGCTTTGGAGAACATGGATTGGTAAAGTTGACGTGATATTGATGTGTCTACTTACAAGTCCTTTGTGTGAATAATTAATCTGAAATGTCTGCATGCATGCTAATACAATGCTAATTTAGGTCCAGTTGGGAAAAAAAGAAGAAGTATCAATACATAGTATCTCTTGTGGGAATGGTGTTCTGCAGGGGAACTATAATGTACACATATTTGTGCAATTTGGGATAAAAAAATAAGTCATCAGAAGGAAATATTCATGCCTTAGCAATAAAATAAAAAAGGTAATCAGTGTGTGTGTTATAACTGACTTCCTAGAATTTATGTTGTATCTGGTCGAAGTTATTCTCATCAGTTATAAATTTCCAGTATATACGCATGCCAGAGAGTATAGTAATTTGTCTTGAAGTCCTCTCCTTAAATTTTTTATTGAGTATTCAGTAGTCTTTTGACATGCCTGGTTAGGATTTTGTGCTATTAAGCTGTGTTTAAAACAGTTTCTTCCCCCCACCCCTCCCTCTGGAGAGATTTGAAAACCTAACCCGTCTCTCTCACAGTTAGAAACTGAGCATTTCTGTGCTCAGAAATTACAGGCAAGCTACTGATTTTTTTTTTTTTAATCAAGTACTAGAGGTGAGATGATAATGTGAAAGAAATATAATGTTTATCTAAAGGCAAGCATTCATTTCTCTAAGTAGGTTGTCTGACCTACTTCCAGATGACCTATTTTTACTAGATACAGTGGAGAAATATACATGACTTTATTGCGAGTAATCTGCATTGCCACATTATCCTTAAATCCTTTTGATCCTTTTAAACAAATTATTTGTGAGAAGCAAGATAAGGTTAAATGATGTAGTGTGTGTTACCTTTTATGATATTGTGTATGTGTGTATATATATAAAAAAAATACATCTCAAGTACTTTGACTTCAGTTAGACATTCTAATTTAGAAGTTGTAAGAAACCTAATAAACACTTTTAGACTTGAGCTTGCATTTTCCTATCCTTATTTTCGTTTAAAAAAAGTTTAATTAGAATAGGAAAATGTATTTATCTTTAAGCTAGACCTGGCGTTTAACCTTTAATAAAATAAATGTGTACAATTTACGTATTCATGTCAGCTCCTTTTATTCCCTCTGTTTGGTTTCTGTAAAGTTCTACCAGGGTACATTTTGCTTCCTCCCAGTACAATTGCTGGAAAACTGTCATACACATATTAATGAAAGTTCTTACACTCTAGGTGACAAGCATTCAACTAGGCTAAAAAGAAATGTATTAGGAGTGATTACAGAAAATTAAATATATTTAGGGAAATCAGACACCCACAATCAGTTGGAGCAGAGGAAATACATAGAGTTAGTATTTTTGTTTCATTGTTTTAGTCACTGGACAGATTGCCTCTGCGATTATTGGCTGAGAGACTATTGCTATGAAATAAATAGCTGTAAGTATAAAGTTTAAAAAGTTTTGGCCCCAAATCCTGAAAGTAAAATTCCTGTTGTACCACTATCATTAGTGAATGCATAAACTTGAGAGTATAAAAACAGGGGTGAAAATTGTGGTTTTGTTTCTCTAGCACATGATGGTAATGGAAGACATGATGAAGGACTTTCTGCTGGGAGAGCATCTTCTTTTAGTTGGCAATCAGGTGAGTTAAACACCTCTTACAATGCATGGAACAAACTCATTATTTAATACTGAAATTAAATCTCTGGTTTGCTTCATTGAAATTGCATTCATTTGTAGTACTGAGGTGTCCCTGCCCATGGCAGGGGGGTTGGAACTAAATGAACTTTAAGGTCCCTCCAGCCTAAACCATTCTGTGATTCTATGATTTGACCCATTTTTTGATTCCTTATCTACTAGTGTCTAAGGGGTTTATGGGCACATAATTATGGGAAATGTAAATACCTTCAATGTATCTTTAGTATCTTTGCTGATGGAGACTTTATTGGTGAGATCATGGGGGCTGTTGTGTTCTTTTAGTGGGTCATTGCTGTTTCGTGACATCTTCTAACAGTTTAGAGGCTCCCCAAGATGAGGTATGGGCAGATGTTCTTCTGTTGAGTATGTCTGAAAGTCTTTGTTCTTCAGAACCATCTTAAACTATTACTGGAACTGTTAGGTGACTTGAACAGAACTGTACACATTGCCAGTTAGGTGGAAAAAAGAAAGTTTTTGTTACTATTTCTGTATATTTGAAGTGTTCAAGAAAGTGATACTTCCCAAGCTACCAGATTGTTTTTTTCCTCATAAAGTCCCTTTAGTTTAGCTTTCCCTTAGCAAAGATACAATAATTTTCTAGCAGATGTTTCTCTTCATGTTTTGCAATAGCCTTTGGAAAAAGTCTGACACAGAACACTAATGGTCTAACCTACATGGCCAGGAATATGAAATGCTAATTGTTATTAATGTGCATATCTTAAAATTACAGTGTACAGTTATATTAATTCTCAGCTATTTAAAATCCTTGTGAACAGCTTGAGTTTACAATGATGTTGTACTTGAAACCTCTGCAGACTTTTGCTGGATGATGCCAGCTTCTTCCAAAAGGTTTCATGTATTCATAAATAGAAATAAACATTTCATAGATGAAATAAGATCTATTTATTCTATTTCATAAACAGTGCTCACTATTCCAGCTTCCAAGTTGGTATTGAAAATATTATATAGTACAGATTGCCTGCAGGACCTGCTGTTGGGGAATAGCAAGAGTGAGCTGCTCCACAGGGGAATGGAGGCAGGGGGTGTCCTTGATGACCAGGTTCACAGTTCCATAGTGTCCAAGCAAGAAGAGCAGGTCTGGGGACAGCAGGCCATTGTCAGCCAAGTGCCTAGTGGCTGCCAGACAGGTCCTTGGTGATGAGGCAGCTCTGAGGTCAAGCTAGGAAGTCAAGTCAGCAGGTCCGAGCTGGGATCAGCAAGGTACAGGGCCAGGCACAGCATTGCTGCAGTGTAGGTTGAGAAGGAACTGAGGAAAGGGCCTGAGTGTAAATGCAGCTCTCAAGCTATGGGGGGCAAAGGGGACCCCAGTAAAGCAGCAGCACCAGGTCAGAGCTGATCTTCAACACAGACAAATAAAACCCTAGGTGGGGGGAAGAGCTTGCAAAGCCCAGTGGTACACTCAGCACCCTGACATATGCTTCATATGCTGTACCAATTTGGAAAAAAAAAATTGAAGACTGTGCGAGTACAATGTTTAGGATATAAGGTATTTTCGCAGCAGTGGTGTACTCATCTTTAATAATTCAATGTGTGCCACGTTTTCTCCAAGCTTATGAAACTCTAATTGAAGACAGTATTAAAAGGTTTAACTGGGTTGAAGTATTGGAACATACTGTTTTGATTCTAGACATCATCTCAGCTGTACTATTAAGCTGGAAAATTGATTGATTTGCTGTGATTTCTCTTTGGCAAATCAGTAATACTTAAAGATTTTTGATTTTTAATTGCCAGTGTGCTTCTGAGTACTCCCAGGTTTACTGATTTTACTAATTTGTTCCACTGTTTTTATGTGTGACTAAGAAAAGACCAAGTGGCCTTTTCTTTTTGAAATAGTGTTGTTAAGTTTGAGCACTGTATTTGCCATTCTGCAGTCTTTTAGGACCATACCAATCATCCCTGATTTCTCAAGGATGTTCAGTAACCATTTAGAAATTGCTTGGCTAATTCCTTAAATATATTACTGTAAATTTTTGCAGCATGTGATGAATCCTGTTCAAGTTCTTTAAAAACAACCATATTACATCAATATGCTGTCATGCTATATGTGCAGATACCTTCCCATGGAAGGAAGATACTAGAGCTTTCATCCTCTTTTTATAAAACAAATTATTAAAAAATAGGATTTTTTGCTGTTCAGTTACATTAACAGTTCAGTCTGTAATAAGAAGGTAGGGTTATGATTACTTGATACATCTATCAGCGTGTACCTGTGTTTAGCATTTGGAAGAAACAGATGTTTTTGTGTGGAGATACAAAGTGCTGTTTTGAGTTTCTTTCTGTTGTTGTTCTTTTTGGTGAATGAGTGAATCATGGAAATTCAGTCTAAATAACTAACAATTCAAATACTCAAAACCTGGATCTTTCCAAATATATGACTAACATCCCTTTGAATGCTTGTGTCATTTCCTAGATATTTAAGTGAGTTGGCATATACCTTAGAACATAATCTGGTCCATCAAAATGATGACTATATAAGTGAGTATCTATGTTCAACTGTGATTCAATGTGCAAGGCTTGACCTGTAGTCTTTCTTTGAGAGACTGAATTTGATTTTGTTTGGTTGACTGAATGTGGTTTTCCTCTCTTGTTTTCGTGACACATGTACATACACAAAATTCTTGTTAGCTTCAGACCTCTCCCTTTATTTCAAAGTCTGTAAAAGTAGTCTCTTTTGTGTATGCCTTTTAGTTAAGAGCTGCCTGGTGAGAGTATTTGTACCAAGATTGTTTTCAAGCAATGAACTTCGTCGATTAGTATTTGAAATTCAGTAAATTAGAATTAAATGATCTTGGTTGAGATTAGGGACTGGCTTTTTTAATGAAACAGGACAAACTGAAGACAAGTGTTAGATACCAACAGTTATCTTTAGAATTGTTCAGCTTCTTAAGTAAACTACTTTATAACCCTCTTCATTCACGTGTGTCCCTGAAGTTTATATAGTCCAGGATTTCACAGCATAAATGTCTTACGTGAAACATGGCTTCGTCTAAATATTTGTTTACATTGGTTGTTGATTTATGTTGGATGCTAACAGGAATGTGCTTCCATTTCATGTATAAGCAAACAGGTTTCTTTGGGTCCTTGGGAAAGGCAGTGGATAGATATAAATTTTCAGCTATGAAATAGCGTCCAGTTAAAGGAAGTGCCAATTACATTTCCAATTAAAGGAAACTAAAACTATGAGCCTGTAGTCCGAATGTGAATGAGACTATCTATGACCATCTATAGTTTCTCAAAGCAGCTATAAAACAGCTTCTTCCTTGGCTGAGAGTTATTTATTACTCTCAAAGCAACAGGCAAACAACAGCAAGAGTCCTGTTTAGTAAAGGTTACTTACTCCAAACTTTGCAGGCACTGTTTATTTAGTCATAACATATAGCTCTTACAGCTGCACCCGAGTTTAATGAGACAGGCTGGAGTATTTATTCTTCCTACCAAGGAAATTTTTTTAGACTCTGTTTTTGTGAAAGTTTTCCTGATGGACATTGTGCAGTTTGTGGATTGGCCACTACTTGGTATCTTTTACTGTCTCCTTGAATTTCCTGTCTTTGGCAAATAGGAGAGAAACTATGCTAATAAGCAGGATTTGTTTATGTGGAAAAACTTGAAAAATAGCAGTGGCTGAAACACTTTTATTTTTTTCTTGCAATTTTGAATTTTACATATAACATTTCCCAAACTGTTGTATTTGGAAGTTGTGTAAAGAGAGCTGTTGGACGCTTTCACCTTTATTGGTCGTAGTTGAAGTCTTGGCAAACATCATCTGGCTTGGAAGATACTAAACAAAATGTTCATATTTCAAGGGATTTGTGGTTTTCTGGAGGGAGAGGGAGGGCTCACAGCCTTGTCACTTCTGAATTATTTTATAGCCCTTAAGTTCTAAAACACCTACCCATGTGTTAAACAAAATTGAAGTATTTTATTTGGCATTATTCTGTTGCCATAATTTATAGTATGAGCTGTTCAGATAGCTGACCTTGTAAATTAAAGAGGTTCTGTCATAGCAATGAATCCTGAACATCTCTGGGTTTAGGGCACAGTTAGCGTACAGGAAGTATTTAATAACAAGTAGTGTTCATTTTGGCTTTTAAAGTTACTCTCTTTTCTTTCACTGTATAAATATCTCAAAACTATAAATATGAATATAGTATATAAATATCTTTAAATACAATTTATCATGGTCTATCATGAGTTATCTAAAACAGCACAATTGCAATTCTATGTAGCAGGACAGATGCAGCTTGTACCAGGTCCTGGAGTTCTGTATGCCTTGAGAATGGCATGTGATCCCTGGCCATGTCTTCATTAATCCTTCACTGGCTCTTATCCATTCTATATCATGTCTTTTAAATAATCCATATGTTTTATTTTGATTCAAGTTTCAATACATACAGCCAATACTCTTGATGTGTTATAGTCAGCGTGTGCACCTCCGCTTGACTGTACCCTGTCAGCTTTGGCCCACAGCGCTTGGCCTTCTGCACTTAGGTCATCTGTTATAGGCTTTATACCATTTTCAAAGTGTAGAGCATATCAATGAAAAGTGATTGAGTGAACATTACTGCCCATATTGTATAAACATTACCAAAATTATGAGGAACATTCTCTTTGTTAATCTTCTTGAAGAGTGGACACAGGAAATGCGGTGTACATTGGGACAGCCTCGTGTTCATCAGGAACATTCCCTATTTGTAATTTTTTGCTTGTTTTTCTCTTTCCAGAATTCTGTTTCTCATTTGTCTTGTAGTTTTCTTCATTGGCAACCTTTATGGCTATTTCTAAGTATTTGGTACTAGCTGATCTACACTTGAAAATGAAATAGTTCTGTTACCATTATCCATCCTTCTTTTATGACAAATTACTTAAGAAAGAAGAGCTACTTAAAAAAAAAAAGACAACAAATAATATATTTCTTCTTTTCCG